CGGCCATTAGTGTGGTCAGGGCAGATGGCCAAGACACATTGGAAGCCTTCCAGAGGCTTCCTATAGGCTTGCACTGCAAGAGCCCTTGAGACACTGGCGTCGTACCACCCCCTTCCTCCAGGAAGAACCCCCGCTGTGTGGCCCAGGCAACAGGGAGCTTTTCTCACAGGCACTGTGGTATGAAGGAGTCTCAGGCCAAATGTGGCATCAGAAGGGAGAGGAAGCTCTGGCTGGTCTACCAGTTGGCTGTGTGACCTTTGATGCTTCCTTCCCTTGATTTCCTCCTTTCTAAGTTTTCTGCAGCTCTAAACATTGCCTCTGTTCTTGTGCTTCACCTCTTGATCCTGACACACTCAGTATACACTACATTCATGTGTAGATCATTGTTTTTTGGATGTTTTTAAGATGTGAGTGTCTTTGTGTCCATCTGTGCCTTGTACAGACACATCTGTTGGGTGTGTCCGAAGTGCTTGATCATGGAAGGAAGGGGCTGCTCCATCTCGCCTCTGTTAAGCACAAGTTTGAATGGGAAGAGCACCTTAATTTGCTGCTAAAATTGGTGAAGGGATCTTGAGAGCCACCTGCTTACTTACACTAGACTACCTGCCCATCAAATCTGGGCCCAAGTGAAAGTCTGGTTATGTGAGCTGTGGAGGGGAGCAGATCAGGTGTGGTCTGGCCATGCACAAGCACACTTTTCAAGCCCTGAATCTTGGTAGTTTCTTGAAGTCAACTGGCAAGTTTCATCCTTGCATTGTTTCCACAGAATGTGAGAGCAAAGGTGCCATGCGCTGGAGGGTTTGACACCTGTAAAGGGAAGCTGGGTGGTGCCTGTTGGAGATGCCAAAGGCAGAGGAAGTCAGCTGCACAGGCAAGAACAGTCAAGGTTGAAGAGTGTTTCCGTTGGGATGTCTCAGGTACCATCCAACAGAATTATCTTCCCTATCCTCAATCCCAGGAGACACTGTGCCCAAGGACCCTGGGCTCTAAGCAGCAAGCAGCCTGCTCTAGAGAATGGCCCAGTCCCCTCTGCCCCTTCCAGCCTGCCCTCCTCTGGCTCTGGCCTGGCTGGAAACCCAGGCTCCTTGCTGTGTTCTCTACTCCCATAGCATTGGGAGGCATGCCTTCATGCCTTCCTCCCCTGCTCCACCAACCTCAAGCCCTGTTGCCACTACAGGTCAGTCTCTTTGAAGTCTGCCACAGCCAAGAGTGACAGCATTCCTCTGAGGATAGGAAAGACCACCCTGAGCAGAGGGGCAGGAACCAGGGCGTAGAGGAGTTTGCCACTCCCAGCCTCAGGCACCAGGGCCCATACCATCTCTTTTGAATCCACCACTCCCCAAACCTCAAGAGAACTCCTCCCAGACAAACCCAACAACACAGGGTTGGAAAGATTCAGCAGTTTCAGAGAACAGAAAGGAATGTGTTCCTTAAAGCTCTTTTTTTAAACTAGACAACCTACATCCAGTGAACTGCAGTCACAATTCCCTATGGGGGCTAGGAGACAGGGCAGGGGAAGGGGACACACCCTACCCCTCCACAGACCAACAGGAAGCCAAAGCAAGTGAAAAACATGCCGACGTGCAAGCCAAGCACAGGCACAGGCCTGCTCTGGCAACAGGTGTGAAGGGGCAGTCCTTGGGCGCAGTTTACTAGGAAGTCTCCTTGGGGGAAGGTTCAAAGCAGAATTATAAAGGAGGTTAAAAATCAAAACAAAAAACTTCATTGGCAGAAAGGAAAGCAGAGGTGTCCGTAATCTCTAAGTCCTGAAGTTTCCATAGGCTGTTGTGGGGCCGGGGTGTCCTAGGTATTCATAGAGACATCATCCATCAGAGTAAAGGTTACAGGAGAGGGAATGAGGAGGAAGAGGGGTAAGACTTATCTATTCCCATTTACTTCATCAAAAGTCAGCATCTAAGACAAACCAGCTTTGGAAACAATGGTCCAGGTTGGAGAATTAGAGAGAGAAAGGAGGGAAGGAAGGAAGTGGGCAACCCCAGACAAGATGTGATGGCCGAGGGAAACAAGATTGGAAATGGGATGAATAGCAACACCTGGAATAGGCTCCCAGGAGAGGGTTTGGCCAGTAAAGGCATGACCCAGGAGGGCAGGCAGCCTGGAGCATCTTCCAGATGGGAAGCTCAATGGGCAAGGGCTGTGGTGACCCCATTCTCATGGATGGGTCAGTGAAGGCCCTCCCAGCCTTGACCCTTTACCAGCTTTTGTTCCATGGAAAACTCTGAAGAACTTACTCAGCATGGCTCAGAAAACAAGTAACCCTTCTTTTGGGAGAAAGATTATCATGCCATGAGTACAGAAAACAAAGACAATTTTTCTTTCCACCACAGACACATGCACCACCCCAGCCGGGACCTGGACACTTTGGCAACCAAGCGAGAAAACTCCTGTGCTCCTCCTGGCCTGTACCAACAAAAGCTATGATTCACAGGCTCCCCGTGGAACCTGAGACTCTCACACACTCTCTCAACGGAGGAGAGGCCCACTCCCTGGCCTCAGCCCCAATAAGGAAATAGCATAGAGAACAGAGAACCACTGCCCTGAGTGCCAAGTTGCCGTTCCAGGCTGGTGAGAATCTGCCAACCCACTGGCTGCACCTCTGAAAGGACCCCTGCGTGGAGAGACCACAGAATGTGGCTCTGCTTCTCTCTAGCTAGACAATGCTGATCTCTTTCATTTACCACCTGGGGACTTGGCTTCTCAGGCACAAAACACAAACAGAATACATTTTAGCTCCTCTCTCCCTCTCCCATCCTTTAAAGCCACTGTAAGAGGCAAGAAGTCAGCAAGACAAAAGATCTAACAATTTCTGTCTGACTCCACCTCCACCCTCCATGGGGAGATGAGATACAGAAGAAAGGGAACCAGGAGCCTTCTTATCAATTGAGACTGATGGAGGTTGAAGACACGATCAACAAGACCAGCGTGGATGCTATAAACTCCCCCCTTATAACTGCTTTTGCAGTTATAAAACTGATCACTTTGCTGTACATCTGAAACACTGTAAATCAACTCTATTCCAATTTTTAAAGCATGAAGAAAAACTACTTTTACTGCATCCCATAGGGTTTGAATCAGCTTATTTTCATTTTCATTCAACTCTAGGAATTTTTTGATTTCCTCTTTAATTTTTCCATGATCCATTGATTGCTTATTGTTCAGTAGCATATTGTTTAGCCTCCACATGTTCATAGCACTATTTCCAAATGCCAAGATATGAAAGCAATCTAAGTGTACATCAACAGATGAATGAATAAAGAATATGTGGAAGATAAAGACTATATATATATATATATATATATATATATATACACACACACAATGGAATACTACTAAGCCATAAAGAAGAACAAAATTCTGCCATTTGCAGCAATATTTATGGACTTGGAGGACATTATGCTAAAGTGAAATAAGTCAGACAGCGAAAGACAAATACCGTATGATACCACTTATATGTGGAATATAAAAAAACACAACAAACTAGTGCTATAAAAAAAAGAAAGACTCACACACATAGAAAACAAACCAGTGATTACCAGTGGGAAGGGGCAATATAGCTGCTGGGAAGTGGGAGGTACAAACTATTGAGTTTAAGATAGGCTACAAGGATGTGTTGTACAACATGAGGAATATAGCCAATATTTTGTCATAACTGCAAATGCAAAGTAACCTTTTAAAACTGTATAAAAGTATTTAATTAAAAAAAATGTTAAGACTAATGGGGGAAAATAAACAAGCCCTCTATTCAGAGTAGCCGTGGGACTTTCTGATGAAGGATTAAAGGGTCAGGATCCTTGGCCATCAACAGGAGGAGTGGCTGGTCAAGGAGACTTTCGGGATGAGGTGGCTTCAAACAGAGACAAGAGGCAGTGTTTTATGGAGCATCATCGTTTCATAAGTTCCTCAGTGTGTCTCGATTTAGTCTTCCCAACAGGACCATAAGCCTGTTAATAAAGAAAAAAGAATGTGTATTATGCTGCTTTCAAATCCTGAGTCCTTGCCTCAGGATGGGCACCTTGCTGAAGACTCTGTTGAGTTGTCAGCATCTGCATGTCCTTGGCATTGCAAAATCTGTTTTTCCATGAATAGTCATCACAAGCCCCACTTTACAGACACTCAAATTGAGGCCCAGAGATGTTTCAGGACTGGCCCCACGTCTCACCTTCAGAAGGTGGCAGGGCTGGGATTCAAACCCATGTTCCCATTCTTGAAGCTTCTCTCCACGTAGGCAGAGGACCTGACCTTGAGGGTCACGTTACACTGGAGTGGACAGGACATACGTGGTCACACAAACACACACACTCATGCCCAGAACGTTGATGTGACCTGCACAGTACAGATGGCAGCTTCAGAGTAAAACAAAGGGGCCATCAAAATGGGGTGGATTCCTGAAAAAGATGGATGGAGAGCAGGATTTTCAAGATCTGGAGGGACAGCTTGGGCCAGGGTTGGGGTTGGGAGTGGGGGCTCTGGGGGATAATTGCTGAGAAAGAATTCAGGAGTAAGACACACACCTAAGGGGTAAGAAGGAACAGGAAACAGTGAACCACAGTCACTGGGGCTGACACAAGATGTTTGCACAGGAGGGAGTTGGTCCCAGGGCTAAGAGAGGTTTGGAAATGAGGCAGTGTTTTCTGAGTCCATTTTATAAAGCATGATTAGGACATGACTGAAGGCAATTAACGTGCTTCTCATTCGTCTGCTGATCAAGTTGCAACTGGAAAGGAGTTTCCATGTGGGGGAGGGATGCCAGGGAACAAGCACGTGGCTTTTACGCCTTTTTCGGAGGGGAGCTGAGTGTGGGCTCAGGGTTGCTGGATGCCGAGAAAATGCCATCAGAGGCCTGCAGGAGCATGCCCCGCCCCCCTCCCGGAGCCCATAAAAGCCCAGGGGGCCGGGGCACCCCAGACGCCCTGTCTTCTCCATCCCCCTCCACACATACCCACAGCTGGAGTGCTCCTCACCAGCCTCTCCCAGACACCATGTCCAGACAGTCCACTATCACCTTCCAGACCAGCAGCCGCAGGGGTTTCAGCACAGCCTCAGCCACCACCCCAGCCACTGGCCGCTCTCGCTTCAGCTCCGTCTCCGTGACCCACTCCCCGGGGGGCAGCGGAGGATTGGGAAGGATCAGCGGCTTTGGCAGCCGTAGCCTCCACAACCTGGGGGGAACCAAGCGGGTCTCCATCAGTGGGTGTGGCAGCAACTTCCGAAGTGGCTTTGGTGGCAGGGCGAGCAGCGGGTTTGGGGTCAGCAGTGGATTCGGCTATGGGGGTGGAATTGGAGGGGGCCACGGGGGTTGCAGCTTCGCCATCTGTCCCCCTGGAGGCATCCAAGAAGTCACCATCAACCAGAGTCTCCTGACTCCCCTCAACCTGCAAATCGACCCCAGCATCCAACGGGTGCGGAAAGAAGAGCGAGAGCAGATCAAGACCCTCAACAACAAGTTCGCCTCCTTCATCGACAAGGTGAGCTGGGAGCTGCATCTGGTCCATGGGGTTGGGTGCCAGGAACTCTTGGGGAGGCCCCAGTGCAGAGAGCAGCCATCACCCAACAGCCTCCCTGCAGGAAAGCACGTTCCCTCAGCAAGCATCCCCCAGGGGCAGAAGTATTTGCAGGTAGGGCCAGCTTGCCCCACAGGACTTGAGGGTATTTCCCTTTTTCTCCTTGGGAGCCATGCTGGCTGGTTCAGCCAACACAGAGGGAAATGTGAAGTTCTTAAGTTCCCTGAGAAAACCAACCTAACCCAGAGCAGGGGTGGTAGAGACACTCTAAAAATGGCAGCTCCCCATCAAGGAGCCACTACACTAGTTCTGTGGAGCCCCAGAGAATGTCAGGGTAACTTGATGGGCTTTTCCATTTCGGCAGGAGTTGTCAGTTCTATCATTGGCAGACAGGTGTCAGGTGAAAAGTACTTTTCCTCTCTTCTATATTCATTGGGGTGGTGTCTGGCTCTGCCTCCCCAGGTTCTCCAGAATTTATTTTCTTCTTCTCCCATCCAGGTGCGGTTCTTGGAGCAGCAGAACAAGGTCCTGGAGACCAAGTGGAGCCTCCTGCAGGAGCAGGGTACCAGGATTGTGAGGCAGAGCCTGGAGCCCTTCTTCGATGCCTACATCACCGACCTCCGGCGGCAGTTGGACAGCATCACCACCGAGCGAGGCAGGCTGGATGCTGAGCTGAGAACCATGCAGGATGTTGTGGAGGATTTCAAAGTCAGGTAAGAGTGACAGACCCTTCTGATTCCACGCAGTCACCCCCAAACGCCTCTCTATGAGGGCCAGAGGAGAGCAAAGGAGCAGAGACCCATGTCAGAGAGGTTTGGACTTGCAGTCATCATCTCTTGAGAAGAAGATAGCAAGGTATGAGGTAACAAAGGGACTCTCATCTCATGCATCACTACCAACAAGAAGCCTCCTCTTATCTGAGTCCATGATTGCAAAGGGACATCTGTGTCATCTAAGAAAACATTCTAACTCTTAAAGCAATATTTTACAGTCAGTTTATTATTTAACTACACTGGACATGGGCTCTATTATTGAGATGTCTGCATTGCCAAGGTGTACCCTAGAGTATGAACCAGGCAATCCGATCCTCCTGAGAGAGTCAATTTTGACTTGCCATCGCCCAGGCTGCAGTATGTGAGGTATCCAACAGAAAAGATGGTCCTCGCCAACCCCTTAGGTGGCTCACCCTTGGTTTCTGTTTTAAAGCAACACCTGCTTACTAAAAAGAATACACTATTTAAATCGTTGCCCTGAGGTTCAGTGAAAATACATCAAAATCGACCAAAACAGTGTCCTGAACAAAGTTTATCGCACAGTTCCAGCAGGCACTTAAGACAGCAAAAATTTTTTAAAGATTGGAATTGTGCATCTCTAAGAGGATGGAGTTGCATAAATATGTTTTACTATCCCTGTCAGTTCCATGCCCACCTTCCAGTCTTACAAAAGTAAAAAAGGGAAAAGAAACTGGCAGAAGAAATTATTCTTTTTTAGGGGGAGAATAGAGGTTAAGTGAATCACCTGAAGTCACACAGAGGTCTCTTGCTACACAAATAGTCCACCTCAGCCTGAGAAGAGTTCAATCAAGCCCTTACTCACCGCTCACCCCCTCTCCTCTGTGCTTACAGGTATGAGGACGAAATTAACAAGCGCACAGCTGCTGAGAATGAGTTTGTGGCTCTAAAGAAGGTGGGTGGAAATGTCTCTCAAAGGAGAAGATTCAAAACCGAATCTAGGAGTGTGGGGTGACAGACCTTTGGGCCACCCAAGAAAAGTGACTTCAGCCCTTAGAATATCTAGAGAACTGAAACCTGCCAAAATTCTCCCTACATGTTTATGGCCCCAATGACCTTGCTTGTTTTCTGTTAGCCCAGGAGACTCAAGCCACAATTGCCCAGCAATTGCCCATCCCCAATCCTAAACCCCAGATACAGAGTTTGCTAAAATCCAAGTTAGAAGGGCCAGGGAGTCTGCCCAGCTTCTTTGGGGCTTGTTGCCTGGGGCCAGGGTCTCAGAGGAACATCTTGTGCTGTCTTTTCAGGATGTGGATGCTGCCTACTTGAACAAGGTGGACCTGGAGGCCAAGGCCAACTCTCTGACCGATGAGATCAACTTCCTCCAAATGTTCTTTGAGGCAGTAAGATCCTGCACATGTGTTTGTCCCTCCTGTGTCTAAAGCCTGACAAGAAAAGGATGGTGCAGAGTGTTATCCATATAGTGTCTCTCCCTGGGATGGAGGGTTTGAGAGGCCATGGAGATTGGGAAGAACTGCTTGAAATCCTGCCACACTTAACCCCACCCCAGTTCTGGGTCTTCTCCCTGCCGGCCGAGCAAGGAGCAAGTGTTGATTCCTAAACTCCCATGTCACTGGGTAACATTCCCAAGGAATCAAGACCCATTTCTCTCTTCACTGCCTCAGCGAAGTTCAGAAGGCAAGCTGCCCCTCAGCCCCTTGGTCAGGGTGCTTCCTGGCCCCTGAAGATACCTCTTTATGGGCATCTCCACTCTGATGGCAGACACCTGGGCCTGTGGAAGGCGACAGACAGGTAGAGAGCAATGAAGTCACACTGTGTGTCGGTGGGGGGTCCTAAAAATCACCCCATCCTGAAGAAACCTTTAATGCTGGCATATGAATCACATATGTCATATTCAATGTGATCTAATTTGGATTCAGAGAACACTTGCTCATCCTTAATATTCAGGGAAAAAGCACAGAGGGGAGCCTTGAGAATGGGTGTTAGGGACACACTCCCATTCCACTGATTTATGACCCAGAAACTCCTCAGGGGTCGGCTGGCATAGCAAGAGCTGGGCACTCCTTGCTGGGGATGCCAAAGAAGGATTCCTGACTTAGATGGGTGGTCAATTGTGTGATTTCAACACCCCTTCTTTTTTTGCGGTGGTGACACTGAGTTAACTGGCTCTGCAGGAATTGTGTCAGATGCAGACACGGGTCAGCGACACATCCGTGGTCCTGTCCATGGACAACAACCGCAGCCTGGACCTGGACAGCATCATTGCCGAGGTCAAAGCTCAGTACGAGGAGATCGCCAACCGCAGCCGGGCTGAGGCTGAGTCCTGGTACCAGACCAAGGTGAGCATGGGCACCTCCGTGATAGGCTGCAGGTCTAGTGTTCTCTGAAGCCTTAGATCATTGTTTACCTACAAGCCACAAGCCTCAGGAGTCACGTGAGCATTCCCGTTTCTTTCAACTTGGCAGAAGTGTCTTGGAGGCTGTGAAAACTTAGCTTGAAATGCATGTGGAAATCCCAATACACACACACACTAATAAGTGGTCAGGCAATCCTGGGTGCTCAGAAGGACAGCCACAGTACCCCCACCACTTACCAACTGACTGGGGGCTGGATGAGACTCGAATAACCAAGAAATACTCATAAAACTGTTTCCAAAGGGCTTGTTTATTTACAGAGCTCCTACTATATGCCAAGCAGGATTACAAAGTTGTAAATGAACAAACTACAAAAAGAATCCAAGGTCGGGGAGGCCATGAGATGAATGAACAGTCATAGAAGGGGAAAAGCATTAATAAAACACTTCCAAGAAGAGGTGGGCTTTAGTTTATTTTGGAAGTGGCGAGGGACAAAAGATTGCCAAGGAGCAGGGAAGTCTTGAAAGGCTGAGCAAGCAGTCCTGTGGGGCTGGGAGGCAGAAATGAGCACCTTGCGGAACAAGAGAGCTTGCCCTGGGAAGAAGGAGGTTGGCATGACTGCAGAGAACTGTTGTCCAAAGGTGCAGATGGCCAGAAGGTTTGGTTTTGGAGGGGTAGAGCAGCCTAAATGGTCCAACCCATGAGATTAGTTATCGGCCAAATGCAGATGTTTTTCCAGGGCAGCTGCTCACCTATAAGCTGTCTGTCATCCCTTGCCTTGGTCTTTGCACTGCCTTAGTCCCTGCCACTGCAAGTGGTAGAAAAGAAGCAGGTGTCAGGTGCCAGGGGTATAAGGGTGGAGGTAGCTCCTTCATAGTGAGTGGAGGTGGGATGCACTTAACTTCAAGTGGGGTGGTTGCAAAGTGTAGTGTTGGCAAAGACTGTTGTTGCCTTTAACCATGTGTGTCCAGAAAGGAAGAAGCCGAACCATTCAGCACTTTCTAAATTGGACAGATCTTCACTCAGGCAGGGGCTCTTCTTCCACTGGGCAAGGTGTGAGTTTCCTCCAGTCTGCTGGAGGACACAGGGTGCATTTATTTCTCCTAAATGATGGTGTCCTAGACTCGCACCATTAGACAGAGAGCCACCTAAGATGGAGGATTCTGTTACAAAGTCTTCAGAACGGTGTCCTCTATAGCCTGAGCTCCTTCCAGTGGTGTTTCTCTGCAGTGCCTCCATTTCCCTAGCACTGGTATCAGGAGGGCCACCAAACTTCATGGTCACAGTTGGTCTTTGACGTATGCCCCATGACCAAGAACTCCCCAAGGACAGTGCCAAATCATCTCTCACTCCTCGTGCTCTGCATACTCTGGGGGCTTCATGTACAGTCTGTTTCTCTTGTCTGGAATGTTCTCCCTTGAGCCGGTCAATCCTTCTCAGTGCCTTCAATGCCCAGCTTGAACATTTCCATCCCCAGAGGGACTTTCCTGCCCATTCCCCACGCCATCCCTCACTTCCATACCTAAGTCAGATTCCTTTGTCACAGCTCCATAGGACTCAGTTTACTTCCTAAGGGACTCTCATCTCAGTTTGAAGCTATAAATTCAATAATATGTAGGCTGGTAAGGAAAGGAAAAAACCATGAGCCTTACTGATAACTGCTCGTATCAAATGCCAGCCTGGTTCAATTATTTTCCACCTCAAAAAAAAAAAAAAGAAACTGTAAGCAGGAGTCTGATTATGCTCTTCATGATATTCCCAGAGCCCAGGACATGCCTGGTGAGTAGATGTGGTCAAGAAACAAGCAAGGGGATGGGTGAATGATGAGTACATGGATGGGCTTGCTCAGAGCACCAAGGGCCAGGCTGGGCATGCAGGTAGTGCCCAGGTCAGAGTTTGATGGGTTGACTGACTCTGCTCTGGTTCTGTCAGTATGAGGAGCTCCAGGTCACAGCTGGCCGGCACGGCGATGATCTCCGCAACACCAAACAAGAGATCTCCGAGACGAATCGGATGATCCAGAGGCTGAGAGCTGAGATCGACAACGTCAAGAAGCAGGTACATTCTGGCAGGACCCAGAGCTCCCCGCACACTTAACGTCTTCCGGGTCATTTTGCCTCACTTACAGGCCTCCTACCCAAGAAGCACCAGATTTCCAGAGGTTATCAGTAAGGTTCATGGCTTCCTCCTTTTCTTATAGTGTGCCAGCCTGCAAACAGCCATTGCCGATGCAGAACAGCGTGGGGAGCTGGCCCTCAAGGATGCACGGGCCAAGCTGGTGGACCTGGAGGAGGCCCTGCAAAAGTCCAAGCAGGACATGGCCCGGCTGCTGCGCGAGTACCAAGAGCTCATGAACATCAAACTGGCCCTGGACGTGGAGATTGCCACCTATAGGAAGCTGCTGGAGGGCGAGGAGTGCAGGTGAGGGCAGATCACCCATCCCAGCAGCCTGGGCATTCCTAGGGGTTCAGGTTGGACATGACTGAAGGGACTTAGCACGCGTGCATACACGCAGGTTGATACAGGCCCTTCCTTGCCTGGAAAAGGGAGCAAAATGCTGGTAGAACTGGACTCTGACAAAGAATACAGGTGCAGTTTCTTTCCAGGGAAATCATAATCAGCAATCCCAAATTTGAGGTGCAACTGCTTTTAGCACTCCATAGAAATCTAGAAGCTGATTGGATCCAGGTAAAATAAAATCAAAGGAGAAATTAGGTCACACAATGGGTCTGGATATGTAGTATGAAAGACTCTGAATTGAGAATAAATTGTCCTAGGATTTGGGCCAACCGGTCTACCACTAACTAGCTACATAAGCTTAGGAAATTCAGCATCATCCTCCCTCCAATGCTCCCCACCCCAGCTTTCTATGTCTTTATTGATGTAATAAAGAGCTCAGGTCACATGATCCCCAAAGCCCAGTGGGGGCTTTGTACTCTGCCAGTTACCAGTCGTGTGACCAGCTGTGTGATTTCTCCAGTCCTCATCTGTAAAATGGGACAACCAGAGTTTCTATCATCTATGTTATTAAAAGGGCTTAAGTGAGGGACTACCAGTGAAGCTCTCAGAAAAATGGATGGACACAGCAAATGATTAGCTCCCTCTCATTTTAACGGCCAAAGATGTGGGCTTTGTAGTTAGATTAATTTGACCTCAAATCCAGCTTTGTGATCATGAGCAAGTTAGTTAACCTCTCTGATCTTCAATTTCCCCATCTGTAAAACCGAGATTGTAATACCTACTTAGGGGTTATTGAGAGAATTAAGTGGCATAATGTGGGTAATAGGTAATTCATATAATGAATGCCACTTCTGTCCTCAAGATGCTAAAGCAAAACTACTCTAGTTGCTACAACAAGGCTAGACCAGTGATTGCTATTGTTACATTTATGACTCAGACTCCTTTCCACACCTGTAATAACCTCGGTAACCTGACAATAGGCCATTGTTGAAAGAGCAATCTTCTTGTTGTATGACAGCCCTGCCTTTCCAGCTGACGCTAACATATGATTTGCTTTAATTTTAATTTTCTTTTAAAAAAGTTTTTTCCATGTATTTTTATTAGTTGGAGGCTAATTACTTTACAATATTGTAGTGGTTTTTGCCATACATTGACATGAATCAGCCATGGATTTACATGTGTTCCCCATCCTGATCCCACCTCCCGCCTCCCTCTCCATCCCATCCCATCCCTCTGGATCTTCCCAGTGCCTTTACACCAAAAATTCTGAGATTACAGATTTGACTCCTATGAACCCCAACTCTGCATTATTTCATTTGTTAGATTATTATTTTTAATACTACTGGTATTTAAATAATTTCAACCTCCATTACTTCTGCAATAAAAATAATTGAAGGCTTTCTCAGTAAATTTAAAACAATTGCACAAATGTCATTTCAAATGACCACAAACTGCTGGACACCACAGTAACCTTCCTTCTCCCCCCTCCTCCCCATCAGGCTGAGTGGAGAGGGCGTTTCTCCAGTTAATATCTGTGAGTATGACATCCTCTTGTGTCATCTGGAGTGTATGTGGCTGGGGACTGGGGAGATGGTGGGCATGCCGGAGGGTGCCAGGGATGTATGGGGCATTGGAGGGGATCCCACCGATGGGAGGTTCATTTTGAGAAGGTTTGAGATTCTGAGTTTCTATTAGGAGAGACCTTAACGTCACCGACCTTACCTCTTTGCAATTGAGAGGGCACCACAAGGGAGTAATGGGAAGTTTGCTCTCATCCTTCTACATGGGTTGCAGGATCCTCAGGCCACACCTTCCCCTGCCCAGACTGGATCACACTACAGAGATCTTGTCTGCTCTCAGGCTTTGGAGAGAGCCTTCATGTTGGGCACTAGGGCATTGCCAGTTAGGCAGTCTCTTCCAGAACAGTCTGGGAGAAGCCCCACTGCTCAGTTTAACTCTATGGAGTGTGACACAGAAACCTACCAAGGGTTTCAAGGCAGTGAGAGTTTCCAGAGACCCGGCAGTTTGGTGCTGCTCCCCAGAAGCAGGAGAGGCATTCATTAGTAAGCTTGCACAGCCTGCACTGGTAAGCACAGAAGTCACCATTTACAGAGCTCAGTGCTGGCATTGTGAGGCCAAGAGACGATTCTTACAACTTACACTCTACAAGGGAGTTCAGTTTTCTTGACACCTTAGCGATTGATGATATTAACCATGACTCAATAAGGCAGATCCGTCTGAACCACCCAGAAGTCCTCCTTCCCTAAGGTCCTTGTCCAATGGCTCCAGAGCCCCTCAAAGCTAATTTGGGGACTGGATGGCATAACCTCTAAAGTTTCCTTTCTTGAAAGCACGTAAAATCTGTGCTTATTTCCTAAGGTTGCCGTAATATAGTACCACAAACTGGGTGGTGAGAAACAACAGAAATGTGCTGTCTTGTGGCTCTGGAGGCTAGAGATTACAAACGGAGGGGTCAGCAGGGCCATGTGTCCCTAAAACCTGTAGGGAGGACCCTCCTTGCCTCTTCCTGGCTTCTGGTGGTGGCTGTCCAGCCTTGGTGTTCCTTGCCTCACTTCAGCCTCTGTCTCTCTGATCATGTGGCCATTTCCCTGTGTGTCTGTCTTCACTTGGACATCTTCCCTCTTCTTAAAAGGACAATAGTCATAATGGACTAGGGCCCACCATAATGATTTTATCTTAGCCTGATTACATCTACAAGGTCCTATTTCCAAGGAAAGACACTTTACAGATATTCGACACATTTTGGGGAGCATATAATTCATCCCTTAACAGAGTTTATATTTTATTTCAGCTTTCCTTCAGAAGAGCCCAAAGTAAGGTACTAGATGTTTAAGATGACGGGTGGTTTGAAAGTTAGGGAGAGAGCAGTTCGGGAGGAGAAAAGGGACAGAGTTAGCCAGCCAGTGGGTCATCTGTCACTTGGCCTATCGAGAATACTCCAGCCCTGCCTTGGGACTCAGAGAGCGTGGATTGGAGGACACAAAGGGAAACGTATCCACACCTAGCTGTGAGCTTCCAGAAGGAAGGGAGACACCAGGGCCAGGGGGAGGTGGGTACAGAACAGCAGGGGAATCAAAGGGAAGGCAGGTGGGTACAAGAGCTTCCTAGAGGACAGGCATCCCAGTAAGTTCTGGAAGGAGAAGAGAGGCGCCAAGTAGCGGAGGAGAGGCAGGAAGCCATTCGGACCGGGAGGACACTTGATGCTGTGGTGCAGATAAAACTAGGCTGAGCCATGGGACAGTGACCTCACTAAGTGGGCAGGAAAACTGGAAAGAGGCAAACCACCCAGCCCCACCCCATGGATTTCAGGGAGCTGTCCATGATGCCCCAGGTGTCTTCTCCCCTGCCCTTGGTTCTGACCACGTCTCCTCTCTTCCGGCAGCTGTGGTCACCTCCACCGTCTCCAGTGGCTACGGAGGTGGCAGCGGTATTGGCAGTGGAAGCCTGGGCCTCGGTGGGGGCAGCGGCTACTCCTTCACGACCAGTGGTGGGCACAGCCTGGGCGGCTCCAGCTTCAGCAGCAGCAGCAACCGGGGCCTCGGGGGCAGCAGCTCCAGCGTCAAGTTTGTCTCCACCACGTCCTCCAGCCGGAAGAGCTACAAGCACTGAACGCAGTCACCCCGCTCCCTCACCCCTACCCTGAAGCCAGCTCCGCCCGCTCACCTGGCCTGTCTGCACTTGTCCCTGCTCACCTCGGTGCTTTCCCTTGTCTCCCCTCCTCTAGGTCTACCTGTGCTGCCAGGAAGCCTGGCATCCTGTCTAAATCCCATTCCCCAGCCTAAGCCAGCCTCCGCCCTCCCTCGGTCCCCAGACTGCTCCTAGTACCCACTCTGTGCCAAACCCGCTCTCTTTCAAAATTCACTGTCAGATTGCCCTTCAGAGACTCCCCATCAGCTCTGCCTCCCTCCTGCCTCCCTCCAGATGCAGTCTGTATCTCCCAGGCCATCTCAGTGTCAGCCCACCTGTCTCACGATGCTTATGAGCTGCCTGCTGGACGAGAGTAAACCCTTTCTCTCTTTCCTGCCAGGATCATGTCTATTAAATGCATGGATAATGTGTCTGGTGTCCAGCCCTCTGTTTGGAATGGTGGTGGAGCTCAGAGTGATCCTTCTCCCCATCCAACCTCCTCTCAGCGTGGGGTCCTGGCACGGGGAGGGCTCAGCGCATCTGACCTCCCTCCCTTTCCCTCAGAGCTAAGAAGACTGGGCTGAGAAGATGGGAGGGGCAGGAGGGCCAAGCACTGGCCAGATTCCCTCCCTCCCTCCTGCTGCCCACTCCCCCCCCGCCCCCCCCCCCCGGCTCCTGTCAGGAAGCCTTCTTTGAGAAGCCCAAGTCCCTGGGTGGAAGCTCTGCTCAGACTCCCTAGTCTGTATGTCATGCAGGGCGATGCCCTCCTCTCCCCAAACCAGACTGAGTTCTGAGGACACTGACGTAGGGTGGTCAGCCCAGCCCTCTGCCAGCAAAGTGTCGATTGTTTCCTGACAGCTTCCAACTTGCAGATGTGAACAGGAAAATAACAGGCCAGGAGAGGAGTTAAAGTCACCCCTGGGGACAATGCTTTCACCCAACAGAAGGGCCATTTAGGCCCATAATTGCAGGCAGCTCCCACATTCCTGAGTTTGGACAGCCTCTGGACGCCTCTCATCAGATCTCAGTCTCTTGCTGATGCCAGAGTTAGGGTAGCCCGAGTGGGCTTGGAGGAATGGGATCAGTGCTCAGGACCACACCCGTGGGCTCTGGAACCAGGAATCTCAAACACAGCTGTCCAGGGTGAAGGAGCAGGAAGTTAAATGGAAGGGAAGGAAGGGGCCATGAACTAGGATGAGAAAAGATGAGTGTAAAACCAGGGGCTAAAATTTGGAAGGTTTGGAGGGAGAGGATGGAAGGAAGGAGAGAAATGACACTGAGAATATGTCCCTGGTCCTTGGGGTGACCACGGGATGAGACCCTGGGGTGAGGGGTAGAGGGCACAGGAATTTAGAGTGAAATCCTGAATTTGCTCTCTCCCTCAAACTAGCCACCTCGCCATTGATATAAGGAATAGTGATGCAGAGCTGGTGACCTGCAGTCAGACCGCTGGGTCCTAAGTCTCTGAACTACTCTACACCTCAATTGCTTCATGTGCAAAACAAGAATAATAAGAGCTACCCTCTTCCTGCTGTGTGAAGTTTAAATGAGAAACAGGTGTAAAGCACTACTTATAATCGCTGCTCCATAAATATTGGCAATTATTATTCTTGTCGTCCAACCTTACAATGAGAATCAAAAAACTTAATGCTTATAACTGACATGCACGGGTCTGGCACAGATGAAATCCTCAATAAAAAAAAAATGTTTCCCTCATAAGTGACCATAATGAGAAGGCCATAATCAAGTGTATGTGTTCAGAGTCCAAGATTCAAGAAAACAGGTGGAGAAGGGAAGTCGTGGGAATATCTGCAGTGTGTGGCTGAGAATGCGAGATGATCTGGTGGGGGTGGGGGCTTGGGACCCAGGCCTGCCCCAAGTCCAAATTCCCAGGCCTGGTCCTGCCCTGGGTGGGGTGTTCCCTATGATGATGAGCGGTGCAGGAAAATGGGTCGTGGCCAGACATACCATTGAGATGAACTCAACAGAGTGGTCTTTGATCTTCTCTGGCCAAGCCCAGTTCTCAAAAGGGATAAAAGTCAAGGAGAGTTGTGGAGAGCTAGACTTGGAAGGCTGCTCATCCCTGTGACAGTTTCACTCCTCTGACCCGCTGACACCGGCTCCCACCATGACCCAACGATCCTCTATCACCATCAAGTCAGGAGGCTCTCGGAACTTCAGTGCTTCCTCAGCCAACCTCCTCTCAGGCTGCCGGCCCAGCTTCAGTTCCATCTCCATGATCCAGAGTGGGAAGAGCTTCGGGGGTGGCTTTGGAGGTGGCTTTGGAACCAGGAGCCTCCACAGCTTTGGGGGTAACAAGAGAATCTCCATCAGCAGTGGCTACCGCTCCAACCGGACCAGCTTCGGGGGTGCTGGCTATGGGCTGGGTCTTGGGGGCATAGGGTACAGAGTGGGAGGAGTTGGCAGTGGCTATGGGTTTGGAGGTGGGATGATGTCTGGCGCTGGAGGTATCCATGAGGTCACCGTCAACCAGAGCCTCCTGACTCCCCTTCACCTGGAGATCGATCCGTCCCTCCAGCGGGTGCGAAAGGAGGAGAGGGAGCAGATCAAGACCCTTAACAACAAGTTCGCCTCCTTCATCGACAAGGTGAGAGGGCGATGGTGTCCCCACCAGGAAAGCAGGTGGCACCCAGGAGTATCTCAGCTTTATGTTCTTTTCTGAGGTCCTGGGGGTCAGGGGTGTGGAGGAAGTGATTTCCCACCTTGTTGAGATAAGAAAAATGTCCATCTTCAGGCACCAGAGCTGTCTGACCCACTGCGAGAATATTGCTCTTTTGATGGATAGCCATGAACTTGGCTTAAAATTAGACAGCAAAAGGGATTGGTTCAGAGAACAGAGGATCAAGAAATGGAAGGTTACAAGTTCAGCTCACAGAAGTGGGCTGAGGTCACTTTTCCCTGCCAGTTAACATGGGCAAGTCCTGTGGCAGCCTCACTATTGATTTGATTGGCAAGGGAGGCACTCAGGGTTTCAGACTTTCCTTTTGGTGACAGGAAAGCTGTGATGTCAGCCCTGAGTCTCCCCTGCTGTTGGCCTGGAACCCTAAGGCTTTCCCCAGTTCTGGGGAAAGAAACAGTCTAGTGTGCACTATTGCCAGTTCACACTAGAGCTGATTGCTTTCATCTGGGAAGAACCATCCCAAGAATCATTCAGGCTCCAATCCTGGCATCTGAAAGAAAGAGTGCTAAACTGAGGGGCAACCAGCTCCTGTGGCAGCTCTCCCGCTGGGAGAATCCCTAACTTCTCAGGCCTCAGTTGGGTTGAACAGATGGACTCCAAGGTCCTCTTGCTGGTCTAACAGGCTATGAAATGCCTCATCATATGGACTCAGACCTTTGAATGCATAAACCTAACCTGCTGGAGCCTTTATCACTCATGTCCTCCACTTGACGTGATGCTTGCACCAACAGATGTGAGATTTACAGGAGCCCGGTTCTGAGGGGAAGGATGTGGGCCCTGCTTTTCCACAGTTCATCTGGAGGGGTCTTGGGGAATGAGGGGATATGGCTGGGGAGGACTGGAGCCAGGAAGATGGAAGTGGGAGTGGGATGCATTTGTTAAAGACCGTCTGTAGGCACACTGCCAATTCCAAAGTCTTGGAGGCTCTGTTCCTTCATTCTCTGAGGCTGTGTGTCACTCCAACTGCCCTCAACAGAGGGACTGGTTTAGAGAAAAAGATTTTGCATGTTCCTAAGGCTGTCTCCCAGCCTGAGGAGCTGTTGAGTGCAATTCAGGAAAAACAGATTAGCAGCAGCACAAGACCACAGGAACCTGAGATCTGAGAGAATAGAGACAAGAAGGAGCTTGTCCAAGGCTACACAGCTCATGAGGGACATGGCTGAGACTGTACCCAGATCCCCATAAGGTGACTCCAGAGTGATCTACTCCAGCATTCCTGGATTGTGGCGGTAACTGAGTCCAGATTCTAGATCCAGAGAAATCATGTTGAAAGCAAATGGGTGAATTTTCTGCTAAGAACCCCTTGCCCATTTACTGGGAACCAAAGATCTCACTCAGTAACATGGTAGAGTGTTCTTTTCTTCAGCTATCACGCATCAGCATAGTTTGATGTATTCAGATGGTTTCCTGGTCCTCTGGCCCTCCTGCCTACTCTTACCTCCAAACCCAGCTACTAGCCAGTCTCCCAGCCCCGTTGCACCAACATGGGCTTGGCTATTTACATCCCAGGCTCCTGCCCACATGAGAACGAGGAGGAGGAGCCTGCCACCTGGACTCTGAGATCTTGCAGGGCTCCCCCTACACTGTCGGGGGTCCTGTATCCCAGAGCCCTCTGCGAGGCAACGGCTGTAAAGACATGCTCATGGGTTCTCATCTCTGGCGGCGGCAGGTGCGGTTCCTGGAGCAGCAGAACAAGGTCCTGGAGACCAAATGGAGCCTCCTGCAGGAGCATAAAGCAACCAGGGCCAATCTCGAGCCCATGTTTGAAGGTTACATCAACAACCTGAGGCGGCAGCTGGACAGCCTTGGGGGAGAGCACTCGAGGCTGGAGGTGGAGCTGAAGAGCATGAAGGAAGTGGTGGAGGACTTCAAGAACAAGTGAGTGGTAGCTCAGCCCTGAGGCTCTGGGGGAGGCCCTGGGCTCTGCTGAAGTGCCCAAGCCAATGGGGAATAGGGCACACCCATAGAATCTCATGCTCACATTTGTTCAACTCAATCTGATTGCTGACTTACACAATGTTCACATATCCACCCCAACCCTGGCCAAGGCTGGGATATGAAGAACAAGGAGGTGTATCTACTGCCTTTTCCCTGGAACCACACACACACCCTGCTAAACATAATGGTATGCTCATACCTAAAGATACCAATAATTGCTTATTTTTATGGTTTTAATTTAGTTTTAATGTTTGTTCTTGGGCCAAACAAATCAGTTTTTGTTACCATTTGTATAAGGTAACGAGAGCCCAGATTTTAGAGTTGCTCTAACATGGTAACCACA